AGTTAGTTAGTTAGTTAGTTAGTTAGTTAGTTAGTTAGTTAGTTAGTTAGTTAGTTAGTTAGTTTTTGTAGAGAGAAGCCTCAGTTAGCAGGTAAGGTTTCCATTCCACAAAGTACAGAAAGTAGAAAATATGAAGAAAAAAACAACATAATTCCCAGATAATTATAATTAAATGCAAAGTACATTTCTCCTTATTTTTGAACTTGCACCAGATTTATTACAACTTGTCTGTGAGATAATAGGAGCTTGCCCACTGGTTGTGATGCGTTTTATGTCAACACACATTGATTAGTTTGCAGAAAGTGCAAAGAAACAGAGAAAACAAAGATGGATGCATCAACCCTGAATATTGCAGAGCTTACTGTAGGGAAAAAAAACACAAAACAAAAAAAAAGAAGCATCTGTGAAGTTTTGAATGCTTCAGAAAACATTCAGAGGAAGGATTATGGCTCGTAAAAGAGTGCATTCATCAGCAAATGAAAGCATGGCATCTATAGCCCACCCAAAGATATTTTAAAATAAGTAAATAAATAAGTGAAAACTTGTACAATAGATGGGTGAAAAACAAGAGGACAATCAAAAGATTTGTTTATTTTCCTTGATCCACATTACAATGAAWGTGCTGAATCAGGAACGAACCTTGAAATCTCCGTCGGTGATGTCGGCGTTAGCGCAGACATTAGYGGGGACGTGATGTGTGTGTGTCTGTCAGATTGTCACTCACATTTCAAATACTGTCACAGCCATCACATGTAGCACATGTCTGCKCCTCTGCTGACTCCAAATGTATGTGTTTGTGTGAAGTTGGTTTTTTTTTTAGTGATTGTTTTAACAAAAATAATAAATGCTTGGTATGTGTATTAGGTCCTGTGAATTTTAAAAAAAGTAAATTCAATAAGCGAAGTGTAAAGATAGAAAAAAATAGACCTCAAAAAGAAATAAAACTGCAGATTTCTAAAAGGCCTGGGCCAGCTGGCTACAGTTCAGATGGCTTTTTTTWTTACTTTTAGCCAAAAAAATAATCACATATCTCACATCTCTGCCTGCACACACCTGCCTAATCCACTCCTGTTTGATACGCCTCTCTGAGCCTATCTTCAGTTGTCCATCTTTCCTTCTGTGAGCAGTTGCTTGCTTCTCCTTTTGTAGGATTTAAGCCCCCCCCCCCCACACACACACACACATCTTTCTCCACAACAAGCCTGCTTCTTTCATTCTCTCCTTCCTGTGCCAGCCTGCATCCCTTCCTTTCAATTAGTCAAACCTGAAGAGATGCATCGCTGCACTGCCCCTATCCTCTGCCAAGCATCTCTCGTCTCCTCTCCTCCTCTCCTCATCTCCTCCCTCTCTGTGTCTTGATGATTCTGTCATTTTTTTCTTCTCAATTAGCAGACCTGACAGGCAGCTCTCTCTGCTCCTCCTCCTCCTCCTCCTCCACCCCCAGTTGTCCTGCTCTGTCCCTCGATTTCCCCAGTAACTCTTATCCAGTTCTTCTCTCTTTTTTTTCAACCTTTTCAAGTTTTGCTTCTCTACCCCACAGGGCTTTGAGAAATACCACCAGAACTTTTGGAGATCCCACCCTGGCAGCTCTGTTTGCTCTGCCTCCCTTTTTTGTGTGTGTGTGTGTGTGTGTGTGTTTTTTTACTCCTCCCATTGAACGAGTGGCATTGGCTCTGAACTCCCCTCTGTCATTTATTTGCTGATGCTGTCATGTTTCTGTGTGTGCGTGTGTAGGGAGCAAAAAGAAGCGATGCTGCTGTGCAGTCAGCAGACTGAACTAAGATCCTCCTCACGTCACCTGCAGCAGCAGCAGCAGCAGCAGCAGCAGCTTCCCTTGTCCCGACCAGATTAATGGCTGAATGGGCTCTGCCGTGCCCAGCAGTCCCCCTCTTGCCGACCCATTGGAGAGCATGCTGAAACTGAGCGGGCTGGCATTATCGGGCACAGCCAGACCACACTGTGAAAAGGGATTACGCCGTCAATCGTCACGCTCGCAAACAACACGCTGCTGTAGGGGGGGAAAAAAAGGGACCTTTTATTCCCAGCTTGGATAAAGACTGGAACCCGTTCAGTGCTTTTTCTCCCCCTGAAAATCTGAGGGGGAAAAAAATGTCTTGCTTAAACAAAGGATCTCAGCCTCCTACCTCAGTTGATGAATTGGCATAAATGTGTGCACCTATTAATCATGACAGCAAAAAAAGAAAAAAAGCATGGAGTGGGGGGGGGAGAGAAAGCGGAAAAACATTTGAAAAAGAAAGCAAAAGAAAAAACGAGAGTATGCAATTATCACCTTGTTGCCCCCTCAGAAACGAGCACCYCCTGCGTTATTGCGGGGCTGTTTGCCCTCTCATCGTGCATTTCCTTAATTAAGATTGGAGGATGCAGAGGCCGCTATGAGACAAGGTCATTAAGCCCACCACAACACTGCTCCCTCCCCCGAGCTGGCTCACAGCACCAGCTGTATCGTTCCACCAGGAGAAAGTAAGGAGTTCAACACCTTACAGGAGCAGGGGGGRAAAAAAGGAAGGTGCTGCATACATAAGCTCAAAGCCAAATGAACTCCATCAGTGCCATCCTGGATTAGGTCACAAGCTTGCCAAGACAAATATGTTTGTCACTCCTTTAGCTTGTACAGAAGTATTCCTAATTACAAACCCAACCCCCACTCTGTGTTCCTCCACTCCATCTGTTATCTGTTTCTTACGTTGGAAAAAGACACCGGGGGTGAGACAGGTGCAACACTGGGGAAAAGAATACGTGAATTACCTGGGATTTACAACAAAGCTCTGAAGCCACACAAATGTTTGTGTGCTGGTGGGCTGGAGGTCAGCTATCTGAATATCTCGTTATTTAGATTGAAAAAAAATAAAACTCAATCTGTCTTTTTTTCTACAACTGGATTTATTATTTTTTTAATGTTTGTATGTGGGTGACATGGTAGTGAAGTAGTTGGGAAAACACACAGTTGTTTTTTATTTTTATTGTGGTCGATTGGATTTTGCCTGTTCTCTCCATGTGTGAATGAAAGTGGGAATCATTGTTTGTCGCATCGTGGCTCTGTGATGGACCTGCGACTTGCCTCTCACACAATGACCACTGAAGAAATGCACACATCAGCTTGTACAGAGTGTCCATAAATTACACGGATTTCTCCCCATTTGCTTGTATAAGGACATATTGAGGAACTTTACAGTTGTTGTTTTTTTTTTCAAATCTCACAGATTTTTTTTTCAAAAACTCAACTACTAATTTATTTTGCGTCTCAGAGCCTGTCAGACCTAGAATAACCACCTCTCAATGGTGTTGTGCCGGAAAATTGAGTGACGTGTGGATTGATATTGAAATATTGATACRGCCAATACCAGAACTTTTAGAGAATCAATACTAAAATCAAAATATCAAAACTTTGATACTTTATTAATTTCAGGTAACACATGTCATTAACAAGAATACATTGTAAAGTAACTAATCTATTGAAAGTTTGTCTAAATCAGGGGTGTCCAAAGTCTGGCCCGGGTGCCATTTGTGGCCCCTGAACTGATTTTGTATGGCCCCTGAAGAATTATACTAATTTGTTTACAAATTTGTCGCCCCAGCACAGGTGTAGATGGAGACTTTCTATGTTTAATTATGGCAAAATTATCACAGATGAAGTAAAATCTTCTTCCAATAAAGAATATTGGTAACAGTGTTTGTCTTTAAATACCAGGCTCTTAGCTTTTTCCACATCTATCTAGTAACTTCTACTCAAAAGCTGATTTTGCTGCCCTCCAATTTGCGTTTAATTAACTTATTAAATTTGCCTGTATACAGCAAGCATTTTCAACAAAAGAGTGACCTAAATCCTGATTTTATTGATCAGAACTGACTAAATTGGGTTCTTTATTCCCCTATTAAAACCTAGAAAATTGCAAAGTTTCTTTCAATAAGGGAAACCTGCAAAACACTTTTAAACTTCTGGATCTCGATTAATTTACACATCCATTTCCAGCAATAAATCTGACTACTTTATTTGTTTAATATAAGTATTCAGTGCTTAGTTTATTGTTGAGCAGGTAAAGGAAAATATTTTTGGGCCTCGGATCCTTCTGATTTTGGCCCATATGACAAAATGTTTGGACACCCCTGGTCTAAATCATACACGGTTGGTGGGAACTACTTTTTCCTCCACCTGGGTAATGCCTAAGCACAGTGGCACGTGCAGTCAGTCACTCAGTCTGCTTATATGTGCATGTAGCATGGATTATGATGCAGACTTTTATTTTTGTAATAGTTATAGAAAATTAAACAATATTTTATTTTGATGGTTTTATTATTTTAATTTATTTTTTGATAATTTAAAACACAATTTTAACATATGATTGTGTCTTCTGCTGTTTTTTTTTTTTGTTAAATTTGCTCAGCTGTATTGCAAATGAGGACAAAACATCATATTTCTGAGTTTAAAGTGGATAAATTACTCTGATATATTGTTTTCTTTATGAAGTAGTGGCTTGAAATACACACATTTTTAGATTTATCACACGCATTATGTGTATTTGCATGAAGTATCAGTATCGAATCAACATTATGGATATCTGCCTGAGTTTTACTCTTTATCAGAATCTGAAAGGAAATTGGTGGTATCGAAGGGGTGGGCGGTGTCATGCCACTCTGGCAACACTCCCAGGTAAACACCCAAAGGGGCTGACATGTATGGATATGCACCAACTCTCCCACGACTTGATAAAGTGTGTTAAAAACATGAATATTTAGATGTTTGTGTAATTCATTTGTTTTTTACATCATAGCAACAAGGGGTTCTTTCTGTAAAGCTGAGTGAAACAACACTATGATCATTTTCTTTTATTTTTAAACCATTTTCTTGTGGATAAAATACATATTTATAGATTTATAGATAGAGCAATTTAATGTCCATTGATGTGCTCAGAGGCTATAGTTACCCAATTGCAGTGGAAGTGTTGTCATAGAAATGCTTGTCCTAATATTGCATTGGGCTTTCATCTCAGTCCATCTTTCCACTCTCCTTTGTGTTTTTCAGTGTTCTATTTCCAAATGATTTTTTTTTGTAAACGTACTCCAGATGGGCTTGATGAAATGAGCCCAGGTGTACTGGCTTACAGGCCCAACATCCAAATGTCTTTTCACCCCTAAACTATGTCACAAAGGTCAGACATTCAGCTCTGTTCACTGTTAAACACAAGCTTCAAATCCATTCCCATCACTCCATTCATATGGAAGTAGACGCCACCGTTGGTTCTCAGAGGGAGGTAAACAATAAGCCATATGTCTCAAAGACAAATGTCATATTACAACAATCCCCAAGCTTTTCTTTAATTATCTGCATTCTAAAATCAGGCAGGAAAAGCAAACAGAAGAGGCAAAGCCTGTACTTATTTGCTTATGAACAACACCAGCTGCACCAGGCCCAAAGGATTACCTCGTATAACTGCATCACAGTGGTTGTTTTCATGTTTTATGAACCCCCCCCTCCATTGCTCTCTCTCTCTAAGGTCCAGGATATCCTCGATTTTCAGGGAGTCTTGCCCACACTTTCCTCCCGATGAGCCACTTGGATCACCATGCCAACAGTGGTGTTTTGTATGGGCAGCACCGCTTCTACGACACGCAAAAAGGTGAAAATTAAGAAAATATTTTTTTATGAATGAGACAGTTAAACAAACTAAACCTACAGGATGTGGTCGTATTTAACAAACGATACTGAGTTAAACGTATTTAACTACTGTAATCCAAGTGCCTTTTTCTGATCTGCATTTTCTTCTCTTGTAGAGAACTTCTACCTGCGGGGTCTTTCATCCCAGCCGTCTCTCATCTCAGCCAATCACAGTCTGCCACCAATGTCCAGGACAGGCTCAGGACACTCTCAGGGGTCCTGCAGCAGAGACAGAGATCCGGGAATAGGGACGGGTGTACACAAGGGTCTTAAAGAGGGTTCTGTGGAAAGGGGAGTGGTACCTGGCAAGGACAAGGAGAGATCCAGCAGCAAACAAGAGGCCAAGGAACGACAACAACAACAGCAACACCACAGCCACCAGACACCCCAGACCACACACCACCACCATTCCCACACTCATCAGCAGCAACCTCACTATCTAGATCATCTGCTGCCGTTAGAGGATGTTAATAGTCGAGCCCTAGAAAGGCACAAGGCCTCACTCACAATGGAGTACAACAAGGAGCACCCTCAGACTTTAGGCAAATCCCTCAGCGCCTGCTTGCACAATGGAAAAATGCAAAATGGAGATGCAGGAACTACAACAGGGACAAAAGTCTCCATGTCCAGCTGTGGTGGTGATGGCACAGTGCTTCGGACTATGGGAGACGTGGGGGTCAACCAGGGCAGGCATATGGGTTGTAATGGTAGTAGTCGCTGCACCAAAGAAGGAATAAGTGGGGAGATGAGAATCAGTGARCAGCCCTCGGACTGTCTGGAACGGGGTCCGGCACCACTTCACCACTCTCTGCCCTACTCTGTACCCCCTCCCTTGCACATGGGCTCTGCTACTGGGGGTGCGCACGCTCATCCCCATCCTCATGCTCACCCCCATACACACCCTCACCCAGGAGGCTTCCACTGCCTTCAGCTCCACCCCAGCCATCCGCACCACCCGCATCATCCCCACCACACGCACCACCATCCGGACTTTTTCTGCCCGCCCCCACCTGCTCCTTTAGCCAACCCTGCTTCCCAAGAGAGGGGCGCAATCAACGTGGGACGGGATCCTAAAGTCACCGGGCCAACGTTTGTGCCATCTGTGGCAGACTTAGGAGATAAGTCTGCTGGACCATTTCAGCTTGGTAACCTTGACTGTCAGGGTTTGGGTAGTGGAGGAGGAGGCAGCAATGCCAAGGACAAAGCAATAGAAAAGAGTGCTGGAGGTGGGCACCATGGTAGCTGGCACAGAAAGCAGCAGCAGCAACAACAATATAGAAAGGCAGAGAAGGCACTAGATTGGATGCAGGCTCATCATCAACATGTTCAGCCATCACAACTTCCTCCACCGTCCCAACAACAACATCAACAACAACAACAACAACAACAACAACAACAACAACAAAAGCCGCCACATTCTCAACAACAGCACCTAGTTGTGCGGTCGCGAAGTGCTGAGTGTATCAACAGCGGTGTGGACTTAGATGTGTTCAGATCTTCCTTGTCCCAGGGACCAAAGGCGGGGAATTCTGTCCCTCATTCTGTCAACACTTCTCCTTATAGAGACTGTTCCCATCAAGGACCCCCACCTAACTCGTCCCCTCTTGGAAATAAAAACATGGGGCAACACGGCGGGACTGCAACAGCCCATGGTCCAGGAGGTAGCTGCTCGTTACAGAGAGATGGCCAAAAGGTAGCCAGGATTCGCCACCAGCAACATAGCCGTCCCGGTCCAGACGCTTCCTCTCCTGCTGAGCTGAACCAGATTAACTCTCAGGAGCTTAAAAGTAAGATGGACATGTCCCCCTATGGTTACAGAAACAGCAGCGGGCAGCACCACCACCAGCAACCCCTGGTGCCACCCTGGAACATGAGGCCTCCCCATCACATGTCGCATCCTGAGGAGGAGCAGAGGAAGTCTTACATGGATCTTGGGAACTCTGCTGGACAACACCCACAGCAACAGCAACAGCAGCCAGGGATGAACCTCCCTCCTTCACAGCCCCAAACTGCACCTCCACTTAGTCAGCAACAGCAGCAGCAACCTGATCCCCAAGGTCCAACTCAGGGTGAAAGCAGCGCCATGAAAAGCCTGCTGAAGTACAGCAACCAGCAACAGCCACTGCTCCTCTCTCAGAAAACCCCATTTGGGGGGCTGGGGAGTCTCAAATCAGGTCCGTCAGGGGGTAGCTGTGCCCTGCAAGGCAACAAGCAGACTCTACCTTCTAGGAAGGGTCCAGCTGACAACGAGCGCCCAGATTACAGTGGGCGGAGTCGAGAAATAGGGGAGACGGGTCACGGGGAGAGTGAAGTGCGGCAGCCGCCAGTGGGGATTGCCGTGGCAGTAGCCAGACAAAGGGAGCCTCCGTGTCGCTCAGCAGATAGTCACCCCAACAACCGTCAGGGAAGAGTACAGAACTCTGTGAAAGGTAAGAAAATGAAACCACCTGAGACTTATCAAAGAACATGCAGTGAATGAGCGAAAAAAATAAGGAAAATATAACGGYGAACATTAAAACCTTATATCATTTATCTTGCATCAAAAGTTTTCTGAAGTTGTCTAGAAAAAAAGGGTTTGATTTAAACTGGAAGATGAACAGCTGCAGCCAAGTGAGCAGCGAATATAGAGATGTGGGCTTATTCATGTTTATATAACAGGACACATATATATATATATATACAC